GATATTTGGCTATTTAGAAAATGTTGAAGGCTTCACTCATTAACCAGGAGCCTGATGAGCCTACCAGCCAGCAGCAGCCGACAGCATGTCAAGACAGGGACATGCAAACAACCACTATTGGATACCTACTTGCCTCACACCTCTGGGACCAGGGTTTGAGTCTCTGCTCTTGCTTCACACGTGTGGATTTTGCATGTTCTCCTGCATGGACCAGGGGTGGGTAATGATGATCTTGCTGAGAAACATTGCAGTCTGAAGCAAGCTGCTTTACCCAAATTCCCCACAAGAATTCTTAGAAAAACAGAAGTCTTTTTCCACATTTATTACAAGTATCACTGGCTGGAATATTTTTTCTTAGAAAGAATGTTGCCTTCTGTTTCTCATGCCCCCCTTCCAGAGTGATACCAGTGTGGACAATTAATTTCCAAAGAGCACGAGTGACTGGTGCAGTAACCCAGACAAACATGCAAACTCGCAGGCCCAGCTGAACTGCATGGTTGCTGGGATCGCTGCACTTTGTGGGAGTGGTGTAGGCGCTGTGTGCACTTGTGTTGTGTTGTGCGCCTGTTGAAGCGGTTGATTGGAATTAACTGGAAGTATATTTGAGTTTTTGTGTGCCAGTACAGTTACGTGGGTGGTTGTTGTTTCTTTTTTTTTCGGTTTGAGATTTAGAGCCGGAAGAGACTGGGGAGGCAGGTGGGCCCTTGGGCACCAAGGAGCTGCCTACCCCCAGGTGGAGGGAGGTTGTGGTAGTAGGGGATTCAATTATCAGAGGTGTAGATAGTTATGTGTGCACCCGTGATAGAGGGTCGTGTACGGTGTCTTGCCTGCCTAGTGCCCAGGTAGGGGACCTTCCGAATCGAGTGGACAGGCTTTTGGCCCCAGCCGGGGTGGATCCAGTGGTCGTGGTGCATGGTGGAACCAACGATATAGGAAAGAGCAGGAGGGCTGTTAACATGTGGCTAAAAGGGTGGTGAAGGAAAGAGGGGTTTAGGTTTATGGGGCACTGGAAGACCTTCTGGAACAGGTGGGACCTGTTCAACTTCCCACCCACCAGTGTGGAGAACAGGTCTTCCACATTAGGAAGTGGGTAAGTTTCTTCTTCAATGCACTGGCTTACATTTACTTTGTAATTTCCACAGATCCTCAGTGTTTTGTCTGTCTTTGGGACAATCACAATTGGGGCCCATTCACTTCTGCCTGTTTTGGAGATAATGCCTAGTGTCTCCAATCTGTCCAGTTCCTTCTCCACAGTTTCTTTTAATGCATAGGCTACTGGATTAGCATTCCTGAAAATGGGTTTGGCACCT